AGCTTTATTGTTTGTTTTTCATATACTTGTAAATACTCAAAGAATTACATATAGGTACTTATAGAGCATTGTTTTCTAATTGCTTTCTTTGTCTTTACCCATTTACACTTTCCCTTCTTCTTTTTTATTCTTTAACATTATTATTAAAATATCAATACATTAGCATCTATGCTGCTTAACATTAGAAATCCATAACACTTGATGCATCTAAATTTGTTGTGCTTATTATTCTAATATACAATCTAGCTGCATTTGAGACCCAACTACCAGTAGTTTGAATTTGTTCTATAGACAAGCTACCTTTTATTGCTACTATTGTTTTTCCAATTCTCAAACTATGAGCTGTAAACCTTCCTTTTATCTTTGCATAAATCATTATGCATTTACTATTGCTAAAATTACTAAAACTGATAAGCCAAATCCTGATTTCAACAGAAAAAGAGGAGCATCAACATTCAACTTAGGTTTAATTCTAATATACTCCCCTACTAATCTAACCAGGCAATATTTGCTACTTGATTTTTTTATAAAAATAAATTTTTTCTTAGCAACTTGGTCTATTTTAAATTTATTTACTTATGCTCACAAGCAATTATTGACCTATTTTAGGTCTTTCTTTTTTAAGTTACAAAGCTTGCCTAGACATCTCATTGTTCTAAGCCCTAAAGCTACTAATGAAAAATCTCTAATCCAATATTTATAACTTACATCCTTAGAAGAAAAATCCAAATAGTGCTTAATAGCCTTAATCGGTAATGGATCTCTTAGTCATTTCATTTCTGCATTTCTAGACATCTATTTCTTCATACTGTTAATTAAACATTAAACTATACTACTTTTGGTAGAATCCAACAAACCTCTTAATCTATATGATCTGGAGAATGCTGTCAAACAACACCCAATCTCTGAATCTCACTCTAATATTTTAAACTATGCTACAAACATTCTTATTACTGTATCTGAAGCTAAACAAGGTATACAATTAACTTTTATAGCAAATTCTTCAAAGATTAACTATGCTTTTTTTAACCTTCTCCTATATGCTTTACTAATTGTATTTTTTGTTAAAAACTCTGCTTGCTCAACAAGTTCTTAAACCAATCTATTCAAATTGCTCTCAAATACCAATTTTTCATTGTTGCAAGGTTCCAAATAACCTGATGGCTCTAGAAGAACAATTTCTTTTGCAGGTGGCAACTCTACTTTATCTTTTTTTATATTTATAATCATTGGCTATCATGGTTCTGCTACCCATACTGGTACAATAATTACTATTAGTGCTCTGTACTCCTTTGCATATGCCAAAGCATAATGTATCATTATAAAAGGTAAGCACAGATAATTCACTAACTCTCTTCAAACTTGTGTAAAGCAATTCACTGCTTCTAATTCTGAACAAAAATGGAGGTGTAGCAACTTAGTGAAGTGGATAAGTTGTCAACTCTCCAAGTAGTAGATTGGAAGTTCAAAACCCACTGACTGTGAAAATTTGGAAAACCACCTATGTTACATTGATGTATACAGACATCTGTGCAATGCTAGAGTTACACAGAGAAATGCAAACCAGCATTGGGCAGTGCAAACACAAGATAAGTCCTTGAAACTGGTACTACAGCAATGGCTATCTATCGATCAGTTGGGATCAGTACCTGTAACACAGTTGCACCAGATAACTGGCAGGTCATAAGGCATCTGTGGCCATGTAAATTCGTGAACTGGGATAACCAGAAGCCCACTTGGGAAAACCTGAGTAGAGAGATAACACAGATCTTCAACAGTATTACTTTAAAGGCTAGACCTAGAAAACGGATATCAATGTGGAAGGAATCGGGCAGACAAGAACCTCAGGTGAGGGGTACCACCAACTAGGCCACCGGAAGACTCGAACTGGAGAAAAAAAACCTTGGAGGGCAGACCCTCGAGTACTAGGGACAGGTCACAGTCCTACCAGGCTATCTGGATTGGGAGTCTGAAGTCAGAAACAAAGGTATACTAAAGTACTAGGAATATGCTGTGAAGTTAGTGCTAGGGTCTGAGTAAACTCTGCAAGGGTGAGCCCTGTTAACAAGATACTAAATGTGGGTAGTTAGTTAGCAGATGGGCCTTCTGGAGCCCTACAGTCAGGTAATGTACTCTGAAATGTGTAACAGCTTGACAGATATACAGACAGGAAGGTCATGATTAGGTTAGATAGCACTTAGGTGTATGAGAACTTGTGCGCTATTTGTTAGTGTAAGTATAAAAATCAGAGTGTTTAAAATAGATAATCTCCTAGTAGATTGCAGGTATGGCAGCTAGTGTAGAACCTGCTGTGCAGACAGATTACTTAAATTAGACAACCAAAAGTTGTACGTGTAGCTAGTTGTATACTCACCTTGTACAAGTTATATAATCATAATTAAAATACAATAAAGACAATAGCCGCTGATAACTACGACCTTAGCAAAAGCAAAAAAAAAAAAAAAAAAAAAAAATTTCTGAACAAAAATATAGACTGTTGAACCTCTTCAACTTTGTGTTCAAATAATCTGCAAATCTGTTCACTTCAAACTTTCTCTACTGATCTTTCAACATTCTCACTATATCTGTTCTTATTATTTAATCTCCTAAGTCTTGCATCCAAGTAAAAACATTAGCTGGGTTTTTTAAACTGAAAATTTATCATGTTTGGAAAATCTTTATATTGTTTTTTAAACACAATCTTCAAATTCTTGAGCTATATCTTTTTGCCAATTCAAGGGTCCCTTATACAAAACCATCTTCAATACTACCTTGTTGTCTATTTTTAATACTATACAAGAATGGCTTAGAAGATTTTCAAACATCTGAAGTACTCTCAATACTGCAATTGCTTTTAATTGTGCAATTACTCCTGCTGTTGAAATATGAGCTCAACTTTCTTTTGTTACTAAACTATTGAAAATTCCACATCAGCTTATCAAAGAGATGTCAACATATATTATTCTTGTTTTTGATAGCTTTTAAGCTGGGCAGCCATTTTAGCTTCTCAATTTCTTAACTAACAAATTCATGTCTTCTATTATTTAAGAGGACAGTTCTACTGTACTGTTCTATTTATTCTATAAATGATTTTTTACATCAATTAGTTTGTAGAATTCCAAGCTTTTGACTTTTACTAAAGCAAAAGCCTTTACCAAACTTTGAATCATTCTAGTAACTGATACCAAATTTCTTACTAACACAACTGACTTCTTCACTAAATCCTTCAAACAGCTTATTATAGCAACAATCTTCTCTTCTGGCATAATTATAATACTTATTGAAGATTAATAATCAACCCATAATATTTTGAGTTCTGTATAGGTTCTCAACTACCTTTTTTCTCTACCCATATTCAGCCACAACCTTCCAAATCTACACTTATTTCTTCATTTTACTGTCTTACCAAAATCTTCTTTGATGAGTGGGTTATCCAAACATTATCCAGATAATTTCTACAGAAGATTTCTCAAGCTCTTCAACTTCTCACTATAGCATTTATAATCTTTACAAAAATTCAAAAAGATTGGCTTAAACTGAACAGAAGAACTTTGTAAAAGAACTACTTCTTGTTGAAATGAAACTAAGAAACCTTTGAGCTATCTCATCCATTATCATGTAATGATAGCCCTCTTTTAAATTAAAGGTTATTACCTACCAACCTCTCTTTACTGTCTGCAATAAAGAACCTATACTCTTGAACCTAAATGTTTTCTTTGGCAACAGTGAAATCAACCTTCTAAGGTCAATCACCAACCTGAATCTTTTTTCTTTATTTCAGTACCACAAACACTAAACTTATTTCTAACAAGAACTCTGGCCTATTTATACCTTCTCCCACAAACCCTATTGCATCTGCCTTCAACAAATAGTCTAACTTCTGTTCTATTTAATAATTTTCTCTGTTGTAAACTGCCTGGAACTTGGAGCTTGTTGTCTTATTAATCTCATCACATTTTTTAGAAATAATGATATCCTTCTTTCTAACTAACCCATTATAATTGGGGCTGGTCTTATTACCTCTCTCTAATTCTGTACTGCCAAAACTGAACATAATCTTTCTGTTACCATCTGACAATTTTCTATCATCTTCTGTTTAATACTTTTTCTCACTATCTTCTTCTGAGTGTAGTCAACTTCTTTTTGTCTTAGTACTATCTACATGAAAAAGTAAACTTAAATGTTTTCGAGAACTACATTCATTTGCATAATGCCTTTTGCTTCCACATAGAAAACAAACTATCTCTCTTGCACTTGGCTTAGTAACAGTTTCTGAATTGCTAACAGATGCTTGAAACCTTCTGTTGTTTTGTTGAAAGTAAAGATTTTGATTCCTATTCTGTATAACAAAACTTTGTGGCATCCATTGTTTTAAAGAAGATGGGTTGAAGAGATCTTGCAAGTTATTTAAATTCCACTGGCCTCTTAAGCCAACAGAGGTTGTATCTATAGGCTACACAAAGTATTGATGCCTTATTGGTTGTACTAAAGAAGGCAGCTAAACACAGTCAAAATAAATAATTGCATTTCTTGAACAGATGGCAATTGAGCTTGTTGTTTTTCTTAAAGATTGTTTTTACTAAAACTATAATCTTAAGTTATTCTTTGCCTTTTGTTTTTGTAAATAAAAAACACTATGCAGCCAATCTCAACTTTTTCTGCCTATTTCTAAACAGATCTGCCATTGGGTTATTATCATCAGATGCCATCTTAGTTGCCACATTTTATCTATCTTCATCTGCAACTGTGATCATATATGCTTGCTTAAGCACTATCTGTCTTGCTAAATGAACATACTCTATGTTTTCTGACAACAAAACCTTATCTAAAAGTGAGCCAGCTTTTACACTATTCATTATATTCCTATTGATTCCTGGCCTTCAACAGTTTCTATCTCTTTCAAATATTATTATTTAAATCATCTAACTATGAAGCCTTGTTCAACCAAGATGCATGCTGTGGCTGATCATTACTCATATTAGGACTAAAACTACTATCCTCTATTCTTCTATCAGTAGAACTACTAAAGAAACAATATCTAACTCAAAATTCACACTAGAATTATCTAAGACAGCTGCAGTTGTACTACTATTAATTGATATCTTTTCATTTCTAGAATAGAACTCACTAGAAATTTTTCTTTTTTTATTCTTAACAACCAACTGAACTACCAGTTCTTGCTTAGAACCTGTTTTAGAAATACCTAACTTCTGACACAAAAACTTCAATATGTTCACAGACATATAACCAAAGTTTGCTTCAAAATTTGCTTGTGCACTCTTTTGCACTATTGCATAATCACTATTAAACAAGAATAAATAATCCTTTACCAATTTATCTTCAATATTTTGAGTTTGTTTGTCTTTATTTACATTCATTATTAACAAGTTTACTGAAGACATACTTGACAAAACCAGACTAAAAGTCAGGTTCGTAAAAGAAATAGAGTTATTTCTAACTCTATTCATTACAATACTTAAATACTAAAATCAAATAGACTTAATATGACAATATTACTACTGATTTACTAAATGCAATAAATTACTTCATAATTATTCTGATCAAATACTAAATGCAATTATTACTATATAATTTTACTAGTCTAATTTATTGTTGGTTTACACTTAACAACAAACATACTGAACAAATTAAAATTATCTGAGAAGAAACTCTTTAACATACAAACATTGCTAGTACAAAGAAAATTACAGATAAACAAATTATCTACATAATCAACACAGTTATTATACCTATACTCAAATATAGATTACTCAACATTATTATGCCTTACTCCACATGCAACAACATTCTTGCCAAATACCTAACAATAGCCAAATGCAAATCCCACCTAGCATGCTTAATCTCCAATAGTACCATACTTAACTCATACTTGTATAATATTTATAATATATAGAATATCCAACTCTAACATCATATTACCAACTTTTTATTACAACTTAACAATTCTAACTTACTAGAAACTTCAACACAAATAAGACTACAACAACTTCAAAACAAACTATAGTCAACTATTAATATACTTCAACACCCCAATCCTATTATTGATGGTCCAAATAAACACATACTAAATTTTAAAATTATTTAATTACTGAAACATCTAAACATATCTATAATAGCTAATTTCAATATTTCATATCCAAACACTATATCATATAATCTCCAATTAATAGAATCAATTTTATCTCAATATCCTTAATACATTAGCTTCAAAAAACAAATCAGAAACCTTAACATCCTATATCTTGAACAGCTCTGTACAGCTGATAATACCACTTTATTAAAATGGAAACATCCTTTATCATAACTGTTATACCTACCTAAAGGTTGAAAACCATTATGGTTTACTTTTTTGGAAGAAACTGTAATGGCCATAATAGTTTCAAAATCCTTCTTCCACACTACCAACAACCAAGATATAATCTATTTGCATACAGCTTATAACATATTTCTAAAAAATCTAAACTCTGATTACTTACATATACTGACAATAAGATTATTATTGGCAAAATCTACAGACATTTAAAAAACATTAATCAAATATCTATCACTCACTGGCAAACAAATATTAACATAAATCACTCTGATTACTATTCTCTTTTACTAACCCAAAGCTTATTTTGTTTAGACTGTCATTTAAACTCTAACAAAATTCAAAATTTATATACAATCAATGTATTAGCAATTATCTTTTTTCAATTTTTAGGAAGAGTCAATTCTAACTCATTAAACTTCAATACCAACTATATTTATTTAACAGCTATTAAGGGTAGGGGTAATGTAGATCATTTCTATATAGAAATGTATGGTATTTTAAAATTTTCATCTAAAATTGATATATGCTACTAA